CAGACTCCCCAGATTTAAACGCTGGCCAAGCCATGTATTAGTTGTGACTTTGGATAAACTACTTACTTTCATTATGACTCATTCGCCTCATCTGTGCAGAGGAGACAAAACCACCTGCCTGATGAGATTATTAGGGGGACCAAATGAATTAATTTAAGCGGAGTGCTTAAAACATAGTAAGAGCTTTATAAAACTTATTTTGGTATAAAAGGAATTTCAGGGAAATTACATGGATTAACCAGCAGAGCTGTTGGCTGGGGACACAACAGAATGTATTACCCCACCCCCCATCCCCCCGTACAATGCAAGCACAAGCCATTTTCTCACAGGTAAACTAGATTAAAATGAAACGCAAGATGACGAAGGGGCAAGACACACATGGGCAGCCGTGGTGGGGTGCCCAGAGAGGGGGACAGGTCCTTGGTGGTGATGCAGGACTTGGACATGTGGGCTGGTTTTCTGGACACAAGGAGCCGCCTCCGTGAGGTCCTCTAGTCTCTTCATGGACAGTGGGAGTCAGAGAGGGCTCTGATGTATCACAGCCCAGAGGTACTCTGGTTAGTGTGTCATTATTATTATTATTACTATTATTATTGTCGTTGGTATTTTCCTGGCTACTATTTACTCAGGTAAATATTCTAAAAGGGACGTATTGTATTCTTTTGACTCCCTTTCTGTCCTATTGTATCAGACAGACCATTCCTGGAATCACCAGGAGATTGCACCTGGGACAGGTCATTGAATTGCAGGTAATTGAATTAGATAGATGGGGAGTATGGGCTCAGTAGAGCAAGATGGTGAGAATGGCTCTCATATTACAATGAAGGCCATTTGCTCCGGAGCTTGAATATTCCCTGGCACCTGGGTGGGGCTCAGGGAATGCGTGTAGAGTGAATCAATGGGCGCATGCATGCACAGGGGACCTCTCTATAACTGAGTCACTTTGTTTTCAAACCACGAGGGCAGGGACCGATATTCTGATGTATGATCGTCTCTCCCTTTGCTCTAGCAGGATCCTGGCCTGGAAGTAGAACCTCAGTAAATATATTGTAGACTTACACTGAGTGATGCACAGTGAGAGTGGCACCACTATCCACAATTCACCGGTGAGGTACCCTGAGGATCCTGCTCATGTCCTGACTGCTCCATGCCTAGAGAAGACCAGAGAGAAAATGAAAAAGTCTTAGCCATGGAACTTCATTTCTATCTGTCCAGGTGACCTTAGTCAGGCACATCATTTTTTCCATCAGTTTTATCATCAGCAAAAGGAAGGTCTAGGACAGTGATGGCGAACCTATGACACCTGTGTCAGAGGTGACACACGAACTCATTTTTTTGGTTGATTTTTCTTTGTTAAATGGCATTTAAATGTATAAAATAAATATCAAAAATATAAATCTTTGTTTTACTATGGTTTCAAATGTCAAAAAATTTCTATATGTGACACGGAACCAGAGTTAAGTTAGGGTTTTTCAAAATGCTGACATGCCGAGCTCAAAAGGTTCGCCATCACTGGTCTAGGACAAGCTGATTCTTTTTTAGAGGCCTATCTTGGCCTTGACACAGGGCTCAGGGGCCTGAGCTGGGATCTGTCGGGACCCTTTCTCTGCCATGGATTAACTATTTGGTTAGCAAAGGCGTGTGGCCCACCCCAGGCCCTACAATCTGTCAGGGTTGTCTAGACACCCTCAGGTTTGAAATTGCTAAGAATACACCTCAGGGTCAAGGGCATGGGCTTTAGTCAGGACTGATTTCCTGACTGTTAACTAACTAGAACTTGGGCAAGTTGTTAACCTCTCCAGACCTCAGTTTCATCACCTCTAGAATGGGGATAATAATTATACCTACCTCACCGGTTGTGATAGGATTAAAAGACATTGTTAATACACTTGCCCAAAGACTGGTAATCGTGTTATAATTTCATCATTATGTCATACAAACTGTGGAAATTGTTTAATCCTCTTCAGCCTAGTGTAGATCGGGTTTCCCTTACCCTCTATCTGTGTGTCTGTCTGTTATAAATACGGTATTCTCCTTCACTTCCTAGCTTCAGGGCTTTGAACAGTCAAGCAGTATCATTAATAGATATTGCATCTATGTTTACCCACAGTTCTCAGGTTTTCATCCCAAATCCTATTATTGTGCTGTAGAAGATAGTTTGGTAGGTGGGATAGATGGGAGATGTGTCCTTCTAACACTTTCATTCTTGGGGAATAATTAGTATTTTTCCTAATAGTTGGATATAGGAAAATACTACTATATATTTACACACACACACACACACACACACACACACACACACACACAGTACTTGACAGAATTTCTGAACCAGCAGGCACAACCAGACATTTTTCTGAGAGACTAAACCTTGAATCTGATTTCTCTGGGAAGCCAATAGATTGATCCTCATTTCTGAAATATTTCCTCCACCACAGATAACCTTGCTGAGGAACCTGGGGACATTAAGTGTCCTGTATTTTGAACCAAGGGAGGTCTTAGTCTAGGACAGTGATGGCGAACCTATGACACGAGTGTCAGAGGTGACACACGAACTCATTTTTTTGGTTGCTTTTTCTTTGTTAAGTGGCATTTAAATATATAAAATAAATATCAAAAATATAAATCTTGATTTACTATGGTTGCAAATATCAAAAAATTTCTATATGTGACACGGCACCAGAGTTAAGTTAGGGTTTTTCAAAATGCTGACACGCCGAGCTCAAAAGGTTCGCCATCATTGGCCTAGTAGATACTTCATGTTTTGAAGGATTCAAAAGAGGTAGAAGATTTGGTCCCTGCCCCAAGAAGCAAAAAACTTGTCTGGGGAGACAAGATGTGCATAAGTCAAATCACTTGAGAAAGATGTATTTAAAATACATTAAAAAACAAAAAAAATCCAGCTCCCATTTCTAGATTTCAAGATGGTCAATATTGAGTATCCAAGGACAACATCACAGAGGAGAGAGGGGTTGTGTGCACCTTGAAGAAGGGAAAGATTGGAATTGGCAAATGAGAGTGACAGAGGGCTTCACGGCCCTGGGAATAATCAAGGTGTGGCCTTGGAGGCAGAAGAGATGGGGGTGCGGGGTGGGGGCAGTGAGATCCCAGTGTGCCTACATTGTGAACAGGCAGATGTAGAGCTTCTGGGAAGGGGTGGGGGAGGCAGAGGAAGGAATTGGTCTTCTAGAGCAGGTGTAGGCCTGAGATGGCTGGTGGGGAGGGCAGGGCAGCCCTCGCTGTGAAGGGGGTGTCTGTAATCTTTTCTGCCCCATATTGACTGTTTAATTGGCAGAGGCATGAACCCAGGCTTTTAATTGTAGAATCCTGGGACTGTTGGCTGTAGATTTGAGGCTTCTGTGTTTAGGGCTGATCATCATTAGCATGCGTGTGAGTTTCCTGTGGCCGCTGTCATACATTACCGCAAATTTAGTGGCTTAAAACAACAGAAATGTATTCTCTCACCGCCATGGTGGCTACAAGTCTGAAATCAAGGTAGGGGGAGGGCGTGCTCCCTCTGGAGGCTTTCAGGAGGAGTGTTCTCTGCCTCTTCCAACTTCTGCCGGCTGCTGGCTTCCTTGGCTTGTAGCCGCATCACTTTTGTCTCTGCCTCTGTCTTTACATCACCTTCTCCTCTGTGTTTCTTCTCTGCTGTGGTTGTTGTTGTTTTTTTGAGTCCTCACCCAAAGATATGTTTTTATTGATTTGAGAGAGAGAGAGAGAAAGAGAGAGAGAGAGAGAGAGAGAGAGAGAGAGAGAGAGAGAGAAGGGGAGGGAGAGAGAGAGAAACATCAATGTGGGAAAGAAACATTGATCAGTTGCCTCCTGGACATAACCCAACTGGGGTTTGAACCCACAACTTGTTGATGTATATGGGCCTGCTCCAACCAACTGAATCATCTAGCCAGGCCTCTGCTGTTTTTTGTTTTGTTTTGTAATTTTTATTATTTTTTATTGAATTTATTGGGTTGCCATTGGTTAATAAAATGATACACGTTTCAAGTGTTCTATAAATCTGCTGTTTTTTATAAGGATATTTGCCATCGGATTTAGGGTAATCTAGGGCAATTTCATCCCAAGACACATAACTCGATTACATTTGCAAAAACTCTCTTTCCAAATAAGTGACATTCACGGTTCCAGGGATTAGGGTGCAGACGTATCTTTTCGGGGGGCCACCATTTAGCCCATTAGAACATGTTTGCTAAGGAGGGAGCATGAGGAAGGAGACAGAGCGCCCCAAGGGGAGAAGGCACCATGAGGCACGGCTGGGTCCTCTGGTGGAGAGGCACACGCCTATGGCCTGTCACGTGACAATCTTACCTGTCAAACTCTACCTGAGTAGGCACATGTGCTAAGCACTGTGCTCAGCACTTGTGCTGGTATAATAATTATGATCATATGTATTATTCCTTTTAGCTTCATAGCTGACATAATAATTATAATAACACATTTCCTGTTAGCTTCACAGCCAGGGTATGAGGAAGGCCTTATCCTCCTGCCTTACAGATAAGGGAACAGGAGGTGCCTGAGAACATAGGGCCGAGCGACACGCAGGGGAGCTGCTCTGAGCCACCTCACCCCTCCCAGTCCTGTGCTCTCCCACCACGCTTGTCTGCATTCGTCAGCTTTGGTTGTCCCCAGTGCTCACTCTCTCTGGCTGTCACTCATCCTTAGTACAAACAGATGTTCCTGGGAGCAGCATCCTGAAAGGCTGGTGGAGGTGGCTGAGTGACAAATCATTCAGGTTGAGCGGCACCTGCGAGTTAGAGCTCACATGATGCTGGCAGCTGAGCAGGGAGGTTGAGTTCACTGGTTTCAGAGCCAGACTGGCTGCGCCTCTGACTGCCGGGTGACCCTGCACCAGTCCTTTCAGCTCTCTGTGTCTTGGTTCCCTCATCTGTAAGTGGGGACCACAATAGGACTTACCTTGGGTGCTTTGAATGAGGAGTAAATGCATATATGCGTGTGTGTAAATATATATTACGTGTCAAGTGATCATAATGGTTCTTAGTGCACAGTAAGTGCTATGTGCTGTTTACTTAAAAAACAAACCCGCCCAAGAGCAGCAGACAGCACGTGTTCGGTTCCCGTGGGGCCTGCATCTGTGACTCGCTGGCAGGGGCTACGTGATACAGCCACCTTAGTGAGGACAGAGAGCCCTTGGGAACGTCCAAGCAGTAAGATACCAGGCTGTGCTGAGCATTCAGCTTCGAATGGAGTCCCTTCTCAACGGTTGGTGCCACCTGTGTCCTGGCCAAGGGGCTCTGGACCCCGTATCACACTTGGGTACTTCGTGGGCACCACGGCGTCGTAACCGGAGGGTGCAAAGCTGCCTGCCACTGTGACCGCGGCCCTTTCTCGACCCTTTCTCGCAGCCCTGAGCTTGAGTGGGATCGTGAGGTTGTGACCACGCAGAACACACTCACAGCCTGTTCTTTCTCCTCACAGGGCGATGCTGCTACCAGCTTTCTCAGGGCAGCAAGATCAGGGAACTTGGATAAAGCTTTGGATTACCTGCAGAATGGGGTAGACATCAACACCTGTAACCAGGTAAGTGGGATGGGGACAGGCACGTGGTCTCTGAAGAGTGGCTCTGGCCTGATGCCACTCCCTGAGAGTTTTAATCCGCTTCTATTAACCTTTTTCCGTGGCCTCAAAAATCCCCCAGGGCTTCCGCCTGCTGAAGGCCCTCGCCTGGCTGCTCACATCCCTGCCCCGGGGCAGGGCCCCACGGAGCAGGGCTGATGCCTGAACAGTGTGGGCTGGCCCCGGGCTCCATCCCCTGCCGCCTCTTCCCTTAGAAGTTGCCATTGGTCCCTGCTGTGGCCTTAGAATATATGGCTTTTGAAAGTGGGCAGGAGGAAGGGCTTTGAAAGATGTTGAGTCGATGGTGACATTACATCTCCTTTGTCAGCAGCAGCCTTTGAGGATTCTCTGCAGGCTGAGAAGGAAGTAGTGATGCGGTCTCGCCCACAGGCTGTTGACAAAGGCGAGACTGGCTCCAGTTGAGAACCGATGTGGCTTAGACAGCTTCTCTGGAGGTTTCTGCTGCTCAGACCCAGAGCCTTGTTTTCTGGAGGGCATGCTGAGGAAACTGAGCCCATGCCCCCGGACTGGCTGGAGGGCAGGGTCAGCCCACCTGGAGGAATTGGCGGAATAGAGAGGAAATAGACCCCTAGCATGAGAACAGGGTGCGGCTTGGGCTTGAGGATTGGGTGGCATTTGTTTGTTTTTGCCGATTAAGTTGTCCAGGCGCACGTGCTAATGCAGTTTCTAATTTAGAATACGTTTACTCATTGTGACTTTTTTTTTAACCTTTAAACCATATAAAATTGTTTTACATGATGCTGAAATACACATAACTTAGAATTTACCACCTTAACCATTGTTAGTGCACAGCTGAGTGGCATTAAGTACATTCATATAGTGGTACAACCATCCCCACCCTCCATCCACAGAACTCTTTCATCTTGCAAAACTGAACCTCTGCACCCATTAAGCAGTAGCGCCCCATTCCTGCCTCTCCCCAGCCCCTGGCAACCAGTCTACTGTCTGTCTATGAACCTGACTTCTCTAGGCACCTCATGTAAGTGAGACATGCAGTATTTGTCCTTGTGCGACTGGCTTATTTCAGGTAGCATGATGCCCTCCAGGTTCATCCATGGTGCAGTGGGCTGGATGACTTTTAAAGGCCATCGGGGAAATGCTGGGAATTCAGGTTCACTTTTCCACTGGCATGTGCCTCTGCCCTCCCCCCGCCCCCAGACCGTCCCCTCCCTCTTGCTTAAAATGCAAAATACCACTTGCTTTCTCTTCCTGGGCCAAGACCCCATTTGGATTCAGTTGGTCTCCTGTGGAAATTCACAGCTAAAAGATCAGAGGGGATGGAGTGTGATGGGAAACAGAAGTAGGTGTGTGATAGGAGACAGAGGCCCATAGCAGTGAACTTCAGAGGGGAGGTGAAGAGTGTGGACTGCACTTCAGGTCGAAAACTGGGTGAGGAGGGGAAAGCCCTCCTCCTCTTCTTTTGTCCCTCTGTCCAAATATACAACACTGGACTGAAGGACATTCCTCACCAACCATGCAGAGCTGAAGGTTGGCCTTTGGAGAGCAGACTGAAACTCCGAAGCCATTTCTTTCGTGGGAAGAGGCGGTAAGAGTCAAGTACGGGGCAGAGTGAGAGTCCTGGAGTGACTCAGGGCGGCGGCCCAAGGACCCCTTGGACAGTACCCCAGAAGCAGCTGGAGGTCCTGTTGTCCCCACCCCAGCCCCGCCCCCACCAGGGGAGGGAGTTGGTCTCTCTCCCTGGGGGGATGCATTTCTGGTGCCAGAGGCCAGGCCTGAGGCTGCCTCCGTTCAGCTCAGAGCTGCAGAGACCCAATGCACGTGCCTCTGCAGTGCAGTTTCCGGCCGGGGAGCTCCAAGCCTCAGAGGCCTTCCAAGGGTTAAGATGCCAGCTCTCAAAGGAATCCATTTAGCAGAAATGGGGACAACCGAACGCTTATAAGCCTTGAGCCAGGGCTCATTTTCGGTGTGAAATTGGAAGATTTTGATGACACCCGAGCAACGGCTTTGTCCTGATTGGCCTTCCTTGGGTGAGCCCTGAGCGTAGCTGGCTTGTCCCTCTGCCTGCCGTCTCTCCTCAGAGCACTTCAGGGCAACCAGGCATTATTTGCACTTTATTGACACCACTTCCTATCGATCGATCGGCTCGGTGCCAGTGACAGGTCACGCTTGGCCCTGCTAGAGACTGAGGGGAGGCTCTGGCCTCAGACTGGAGACTGCAGTCCTGGCTCAGACCAGCCTTTTCTCTCAAAGAGCAGAAGGCTGCGAGCAAGGCAGTGAAGGTCAGAGGGAGTAAAAGGAAGGTTTCGCCCTAGTGCAGAGCCCCTGGCTGCTGGCTTAGTCCCGGCTCCCCAGATCCTGGCCTTGTTGGTCTTTGTCCAGTTCCGTGACTGTGCAGGGGCAGGGAGCTGCAGATGGGCTGCCCCCGGGACTGCCAGCATTGCCCGAGCCTCATTCTGGTTTCACAGGGCATTATGGCTTTTGCTCTTGAGTGGAGAGTATGGGTAATATGGGGGAAGGACTATAGCAGCTGAACTTATGCCCTTATTAAACACATTAGTGCACCCATCGGGACAGTGCTGCTGCTGGATAATGTTCACAGGGCTCGCCTCCTAATGGCTCCAGCGCCTTCTACTCTTTAAAAACATCCACTCTTTAAAAACATCCACTCATTGTTTTGGGAAGATAAAAACAGGCTCTTGTCCTGGGGCCATGGCTTGAGAATGTGTTTTGCTTGAATCTTTTGAGCTGGTGGACTGTGACAGCAGCAATACAGCAAATGCTGATCCTTATATAAGTAACACACTTTCAAATAGTATGTTTTGTGGAAAGAATGTATGCTGCTTGCCATAATAGGAAGTAATTACTCTAAGTGTGTGAAAAGAGGAACTCGGCTTATATAAGAGACATCTGAATATTCAGGGCAGTTTCCTTATTGCATAGATTGTGCCTACTCATTTTTATGATCATCATCATTATTATACTTAGAAAAAAGAACAAGTTCACACATAAGGGCACATATGAGCACATGCACGCACCAAGATCTTTACATGAATGCTGGGTTCTTTCATTTATTCAAGCATTGCTCACGCTTTAGACCCATTGTCTTCAGCCAGTGTCTTCCTGTACATTTCCACCTGATGTGGAGTGCTGAGCTTTAGGGATTTCATAGTAAAAAAAAAAAAGTCCTATCTTCATCTTCTCTGAACTGTAGTCCATTGGCAATGAGAACTATCAATCAAATAGCCACATGAATAGATATGCAAACCAAACTATATTAGGCACCGTGAAGGAAAGGCATAGGATTTTATGGGACTATATGAGAGAGGCTTGACCTAGAGTTGGAGGTCAGAGAAGGCTGTTGTGTGGAAGAGATAGTTGAGCTAAGGGATGAGTAGGGGTGAGTGAGGTGAAGAAAGGGAAGAACATTCCACTCATAGAGAATAGCCTGTCCAACGTCCCTGAGGCAGGGGAAAACTCGGAGAGTTTCAGGAAGGCCAAAGTGGCGGCAGTGCAAAGAGCAAGAAGGACCAGCAAGGCCGGAGAGTGCGGTTGGGATTATGCTGGACCTTATATTCCAGGCAGAGGCACTCATCACAACAGTCTACCACGGGGACAGCGTGCCCCAGGGCCCGAGCAGTGTGTGTGTGCTTGTTGTGTGCAGTGTGTTAATCCTGTAGTTGCTGACTGAGAGGAAAGAGCTACTGGAGGGGACAGAGCAGCAGCAGTGAAGGCAACTTAAGAGCTTGAGGCAATGGCTATTGACCAAGAGGAATGGAGGTATTTCAGCATTTAACAACCTGTACCGCCGTGTCAGCATGTCCTGGGAGAATGTCCACCCTGCTTACAGATGTTCACAATTCTGACCTTTATCCTAAGAGCAGAGGGAAGGGAACCACAGATCAAGCACAGGAGTGACGTGAAAGGAGGTGTGCTTTAAAGGACCACACTGGCTACTGTGTAGAAGGGCCCAGAGGTGGATATAGAGATGGATATGGGGGAGCCAGTTATGAGACTCTTACACTAGCCTGGGAGAGAAGTGTCGGTAGCTTGCATAAATATTGCGAGTGTGGAGATGGAACAAGGTGAAGAGTCTCAGTGAGGAATCGGAGGCGGGAGGGCAGGGAAGGAGCCTGTGGGGATGACTTCGGAGGTCTGGCTTGTTGAGAGGTGGAAGCACCATTCACTGAGACCAGGAACAATGGGGGGGACGGGGCGGGGGGGACCCAGTGTGTGGAAACGCGGTAAGGGGATAAGAACAGGGTTGTGTGGAGATTCTCCTAAGGAGTCTTTGGGGCATTGACGTGAAGACTGCTATATAGTAAGCAATGGGATATTTGAGCCTGGAATAGATAAAGATAGAGATTTGGAAGTCATTCAGCATTCGAGGAAGTCAAATGCTGGCGTTGGCTGATGAAAGCTGGGATGAGAGCATGTTGAATATAATCCCACCAGTGCCTTTGTGGGATCATTCCATATGTATTTATTAAACACCTACTCTGTGCCAGGTACTATTCCAGGCCCTGAGCAAGACAGACAAAATAGACCAAGTCTGTGCTCTCGTGGCAGTTATCTGCTGGTAAAGAAGACAGACATAACCAAGAAAATGAGCAAATGTACGTCAGCTAATGAGAAGTACCATGGAGGAGAAAGGGATTTTAGATGGGGTGGTTAAGGAAGGGCTCTCTAAGGGCACGACTTCTGAGAGACCAAGAGAAGCAAATAAGACCAAGTGGTTTCTGGGGGAAAGCATTCCTGGAAGAGGGGAAGCATGTGCAAAGGCTCTGGGGGCAGGAGAAGCTTGGTTTGTTTGGGGAACAGCAAGAAGGACAGTGTGGCTGCAGTGGAGTGATTCAGGGGAAAAGTAGTGGGCACGGAGGTGGGAGAAATTTTCAGGGCCAAATCTTGAAGGGCTTATGGGCCATAGTGAAGACTTGGATTCCACTATAAGGGTGATGGAAAGCCACTGGAAGGTTTTACACAAG